GTAATATGTATATAGAAATATTAAGTGTTACTAAATCTTATTTAGTTTGTCCGATGAAAATATTTTGATGTGAAAATTCATATACTTTTCGTAGTATTATAAAATTTGGTTTGGTTTCACGATAGCAAATTTGTGTGATCGAACTGAATAAACTTTTACTAACATAAACTCATATTCGGTTCAATATAAGAATTTATATATTATTCGTAACAAAATCTGTTTGGTTTCACATTGATGAATTTTTGTAACCCAACCGAATACAATTAAAATTTTTACATCATGACTTCAAAATTTTCAATTTCAAAAAAGATTGTGAAATAGAATTTTAGAAGAAAAATCCCAAATCAAATTGTTTATATTTTATTATGTTTTAATACAATAATTGTTTTGAATTTATATTGATTTTATTAATAATAAGATTTATTTTACCATTTATAAAAAGATGAGGGTTTAAAAACCCATTAAAAAAGTGAGGGTTTTTATATATTTTAAAAAAGGGTGAGGGTTTTACTACCCATTTTTCCGGTTTACGAACTCATTATCATAATCAATACTGACATAAGTCTTTAAATATTGTATGTAAGATTAACTAACCACAACTAAATGAAAGTATACACATGTAAATGTTGACATTACACACACCTAGACCTAAATGTTACATATAAAACGAAATTAAAGCATGTTAGAATATGAGTTGATAACACATGGCTCCATAAGTTTTCTTTTTTACTTATTTCGATATCTATATGTTAATTATAAATAATTACATGATTATACATTATTAACATAATTAGTTGCATGATTAAACATGATCAACATATAGTTATTTAATATTTATTGTACGTCGTGGCATGAACACATTGAAGGAAATCAAACCATATTTTCTATACCCACACTATAACAAGATCGACTTTGTTTTCATTTTACTCAGATATGCTTAGGAATAAGCAAGATTTATAGAGTATTTTATTTTCACTTAAATATGGTTTACATTAAGTTGATTTTTTTGAACCAAAACTACATAAATACGTTTCACCAAACCAGTCAAAGACTCAAAATGATTTTACTTAATGTTTTTAATTATAACGAACAAGACTCTCCGTATCAAGTAACTGGCATGAACAATTGGACCAGATGCACAATTCTCACCTACGTCGTAGAGAGACTCATAGGCATTAACCAAAGCTATAAAAAGATCTGACGAAATAATTTTTAATTATCTGACTAAAGTAATTTATTGATAAACATTTGATTCTGCTGCCGAATTCACGCCTGAATAATCTAGAACTTTAATTTACCAAATCTTTCCAACTAACTATTAAACTATTTTTTTAATAGAATTCGTAATCGAATAAAATATTATGAAAGACATGTGATTTATGTCTATGCATGTGAAATGTCGCCAAAGTTTATAGTATAGTAGTTTATGCATAGGCTTGCATTTATTGTTGTTAACAAAAACAAAATAAATTTATGTATCGTTTCTTTAGTAAATTTGTCTCTGCTTTCCCATGTAATTGTCTTAAGGTTGAATATGAACAACTCAAAATTCTCAAAAATATTTTGAGAATTACTCCCTCCATTTTTTATATTTGATGTTTAAAGTTTTGGGAATTCTGTTGAATGTGCCATGTTCTGTAGAAATCTTTTGATTTACGCCACATTCGCCAATTTTTTGAGAATTACACCCTCGATTTGAACACAAATTGGTAGAGTTCAATTCTAATATTTTTACTACATAGAAATTTTTTTTGTTTTTTTCTAAACTTAATAATTTTTTTCTACTTGTAATTAATTTTAGAAAGATATTGATTATAAAGAAAAAAACTGTTTTTCTATAATGTTTTTAATAAATTACAAAATTAGTAAAATCTCTCTATAAATTAATTTATCGATAAATTAACACCTCTATAAATTAATAAATTTTCTCAATCCCGACGTTATTAATTTATAAACGTTTTACTGTATACAACTGACAAGGTTGATTTTGGGGATATGTAGACATTTATTGAGGTTATAGTTGTAATTATTTATAATTAACATATAGATATCGAAATAAATAAATAAAAAAAAACTTATGGAGCCATGTGTTATCAACTCATATTCTAACATGCTTTCGTTTTATATGTAACATTTATGTCTAGGTGTGTATAATGTCAACATTTTACATGTGTATACTTTCATTTAGTTGTGATTAGTTAATTTTACATACAATATTTAAAGACTTATATGTCAGTATAGACTATGATGAGTTTGTAAACCGGAAAAATAGGTAGAAAAACCTTCACCTTTCCTAAAAACATGTAAAAAACCCTCAACATTTTTTGTGGGTTTTTAAACCTCACATTTTCATAAGTGGTAAAATAAACCCTAGTATTAATAAACTCAACTTAATTTTTTTAAATTATTATATTAAAACAGTAAGAAACAAAAACAATCAATTTATGATTTTGTTTCAAATTCCAGTTTGCAATTTTTATTTCTAAAATTATGGTTTTTGAGCTATAAATATTCATTCACAATTGAGTTGAGATTAGGTAAATCATTTTTGTTACCATTAGAAGTTAGATTATGTAAACTACAAAAATTTATAGGATAGCACATTTGATTATTTTTTTGTTCGAATTTTCAGGTTTTGGATAAAAATATAGTTAAAAATTAATTATATATCATTTATATTATTTTAATATATCGTAATATGTATATAGAAATATTAAGTGTTACTAAATCTTATTTAGTTTGTCCGATGAAAATATTTTGATGTGAAAATTCATATACTTTTCGTAGTATTATAAAATTTGGTTTGGTTTCACGATAGCAAATTTGTGTGATCGAACTGAATAAACTTTTATTAACATAAACTCATATTCGGTTCAATATAAGAATTTATATATTATTCGTAACAAAATCTGTTTGGTTTCACATTGATGAATTTTTGTAACCCAACCGAATACAATTAAAATTTTTACATCATGACTTCAAAATTTTCAATTTCAAAAAAGATTGTGAAATAGAATTTTAGAAGAAAAATCCCAAATCAAATTGTTTATATTTTATTATGTTTTAATACAATAATTGTTTTGAATTTATATTGATTTTATTAATAATAAGATTTATTTTACCATTTATAAAAAGATGAGGGTTTAAAAACCCATTAAAAAAGTGAGGGTTTTTATATATTTTAAAAAAGGGTGAGGGTTTTACTACCCATTTTTCCGGTTTACGAACTCATTATCATAATCAATACTGACATAAGTCTTTAAATATTGTATGTAAGATTAACTAACCACAACTAAATGAAAGTATACACATGTAAATGTTGACATTACACACACCTAGACATAAATGTTACATATAAAACGAAATTAAAGCATGTTAGAATATGAGTTGATAACACATGGCTCCATAAGTTTTCTTTTTTACTTATTTCGATATCTATATGTTAATTATAAATAATTACATGATTATACATTATTAACATAATTAGTTGCATGATTAAACATGATCAACATATAGTTATTTAATATTTATTGTACGTCGTGGCATGAACACATTGAAGGAAATCAAACCATATTTTCTATACCCACACTATAACAAGATCGACTTTGTTTTCATTTTACTCAGATATGCTTAGGAATAAGCAAGATTTATAGAGTATTTTATTTTCACTTAAATATGGTTTACATTAAGTTGATTTTTTTGAACCAAAACTACATAAATACGTTTCACCAAACTAGTCAAAGACTCAAAATGATTTTACTTAATGTTTTTAATTATAACGAACAAGACTCTCCGTATCAAGTAACTGGCATGAACAATTGGACCAGATGCACAATTCTCACCTACGTCGTAGAGAGACTCATAGGCATTAACCAAAGCTATAAAAAGATCTGACGAAATAATTTTTAATTATCTGACTAAAGTAATTTATTGATAAACATTTGATTCTGCTGCCGAATTCACGCCTGAATAATCTAGAACTTTAATTTACCAAATCTTTCCAACTAACTATTAAACTATTTTTTTAATAGAATTCGTAATCGAATAAAATATTATGAAAGACATGTGATTTATGTCTATGCATGTGAAATGTCGCCAAAATTTATAGTATAGTAGTTTATGCATAGGCTTGCATTTATTGTTGTTAACAAAAACAAAATAAATTTATGTATCGTTTCTTTAGTAAATTTGTCTCTGCTTTCCCATGTAATTGTCTTAAGGTTGAATATGAACAACTCAAAATTCTCAAAAATATTTTGAGAATTACTCCCTCCATTTTTTATATTTGATGTTTAAAGTTTTGGGAATTCTGTTGAATGTGCCATGTTCTGTAGAAATCTTTTGATTTACGCCACATTCGCCAATTTTTTGAGAATTACTCCCTCGATTTGAACACAAATTGGTAGAGTTCAATTCTAATATTTTTACTACATAGAAAAATTTTGTGTTTTTTTCTAAACTTAATAATTTTTTTCTACTTGTAATTAATTTTAGAAAGATATTGATTATAAAGAAAAAAACTGTTTTTCTATAATGTTTTTAATAAATTACAAAATTAGTAAAATCTCTCTATAAATTAATTTATCGATAAATTAACACCTCTATAAATTAATAAATTTTCTCAATCCCGACGTTATTAATTTATAAACGTTTTACTGTATACAACTGACAATGTTGATTTTGGGGATATGTAGACATTTATTGAGGTTATAGTTGTAACTAGCCACACGGTTTCTCCTATGTTCTCCTATAAATACTTGTAGATCACTAACCTAACCAATCATTCAATCTTCAACTTATAAGCTCGATATATCCTCTTGTATTCTGATCAAATTTCTGGTAATTTTATCTCTCTTAATCTCTAGCTCATTTTGATTCATATATATATGTTCATATTTCTGATAAGAATATCAATTTTTAGCCAATTTTTTATATATAAATATATTTTTTTTTGTGTTGTTGGTATTTCTATTTATTATCAGAATTTTCTTCTTCATGAGTTTTTTTACATGTAACTGTATCTTTTTCTCTGTACTGTACTGAATATTATATAAGTAACTAATAAAAAATAAAAAAATGTTTCAAAATATCTGATTTGGGAAGCTCTGTGTATGCAAAACTCTGTCCTAAACCTCTCTACATTTTCTTGATATTTTTCCTTTCAGTTGGCATTATCCAAAGATAAGATGTCGAGATACTCAGAACAAGTGGATGCTTACAGAGCCGCCTGTGGACACCACCCAGAACTCAAATCCTTTGATTCTGCCCTTCAGCAGCGAACAAAAAAAATGATAGACTCGCTCACCGTTGAAGCCAAGACTGGGTCGGTGTCCCCACACACAGTACACAAGGAGGTCACTGACCACCTAGTTGAAGTAAGCAAAGTGGTGGCAGGCATCATTACTGAATGCGGAGAAGCTGTGTGGGAGAACACAACTCTAGTATCTTTGGTCCAAGACTATTTCAACAGTACCAAGGAGACATTGAAGATTTTCGAGACTGTAACGCAATGCGTCCATAATGCAAAAAGGGGCCAACGTTACATTGAAGCGGCCGCGGCACAGTTTGCGAAAGACTCGGAAGAAAAGGATGTTGGTGTAAAAAAGAATAGGTATGAAAAAACCTTGGAGGAGCTGATGAAGTTTAAAGCCATGGGAAATCCTTTTGATGGCAGCGAGCTCACGAATCAGTTCGAGTTGATGAACAAGCAGCAGGAATCCCTTTTAAAGAAAGTGACTGATACTAGAGAAAGGATTATGAAGGAAATATAAGAGGTTACTGAAAGAATTAGTACTGTAAAGACAGTGACTATAATTTCGCACGTGGTGTTCGGCGCTGTGGGTGTCATTTACTTTGCCGGATGTATAGGTCTAATGTGTACAGGCGTGGGTGCTCCTCTGGGGGCTGTAGGGGCGATGGTGGGAATAATCGTGCTTCCGCTAGGATGGGTGGGCGTCAATTATTTCTTGAATGAAAGGCTTGAAGCTCTTCAGAAACAGCTAAAAGCTCTGAACATAGTGAAATCTATACCACCAAAGATAGGTGAGGGTACAATAACCGACCAAGTAGGGATAAATTCCGTATCTGAACAAGTCGACGAGCTAAAAGATCAGATCAAGTCTATGTTGGAAGCTGTGGATGATGCTATTGAGAGTAAAGGAGATGAGGTGGACATGAAAGGAGACATGCAAAGCCTCGTGGAGGAAGTGGAGAAATTAACAACGAAAATCAAGGAGATTGGTGATGATGTGGATGTATATAGCAAATTGATCAAAGAGACGAGACTTCACGTTTTGGAAAAGATCAATGGTTCTGGAAAATAAACTTTATGGATGTTTGATGTTCAAGAACCATATTTTGATGGAACCGAAGCACCAAGGCGCAGAACATCAAACAGAAGCAGAGTACCAAACCGGAAATACATGAGACAATTTTGTCTCATGGTTTTCTTGGTTTCCGTTTAATTATTTCAGTATTTTTCTTTCAAGTGTTTCAGTTTTAAAATAAGGGATGACCGGTTCTTCCTCTTGTTGAGGAAACCATCTTCTCCACTTTCCATTATTTCCTTGTTTGTAGGAGTCACGACTCCACTTTTTGCTTCTTGTAATGTTTCTCAATTGCCAATCAAAATTTCTTGTTCTTTTTCGACTTTTCATACTTACTCTGTTTCCTCAAGCTTTGACAAAAATCAAAGCTATCAAAGAATTAGTGCGTGTTCCGAATTTTCGTTTTACCCAAACTACCACATCATTTCACCGAAAAGAAAATCAAAGAAATCGATTGTGCTGCCACTGACGCCACCATTGGAGTCAATGGCTAACACTAAAGATAAGTTTGACGAGCTCGAGAAGGGCATGGGTTTGGTCAAGGACGTTGTGCACAAAATGCAAACCGGGCTGGGTGACAAGCTTTGTATGATTGTATTATGGAAGAGGCAAACGCAAGCTTACTGCTCCTATGGGACACCAACAACCGGAGCACCACCTACCAGCAGTGCCGGCTTAGAATATGGGGTGGGCGGTGCGACGGCCAGGGGTCCAATTCCGTGTTCTAATAATGAAGGGACCCATTTTTTTAAATATTTTTGCAAAAGTATTAAAAAAAATAGATTCCAACATAAAAATAAAATTTATAAGGGCCCAAAAAAAATTTATTTACTGCTTTTAAGTTTTAATAATTAAATTTTAATTAAAAATATCATAAAATCTTTTTTTATAACACAAAAACATTAAAAAAAAAAAAATTCTAAGGGCCCAAAATTTTTTTCGCCCTAGGGCCCATCAAAGTATTGAGCCGGCACTGCCTACCAGTGGGGCGGACAGAGGAGGCAGCACCGCCGTTCGTCACACCAGCTAACCAATACCAACATATCATGCTCGATCGGGTACCCACGGTTTGATGGCGGTGATCCCACGGAATGGTTGAGCAAACTCAAACAATATTTCACCCTTCATGAGATACCAAGCGAACAACGAGTAAGCTTTGCATCGTATCATCTCAGTGGAAGGAACCCCATGGTGGCAGGAGAAACGTGTAAGCATGAATAGTGGGTACGATTTGGGTCATCAGAAGAGATTTTTCACGAGGGGTTGTCTAAGATCCGTAGTCAAACATGGTCTTTAGGCGACTATTCTGATTAACGCCAAATTTAACCCCAGATATGTAAAACATAAGCCAAGGAGTTTGAGAGATTAATGAACAAGGTGGATCAGTAGCGGACCCAGCCAAAACTTTTACCCAGTGCAAAAAAACACATTTGTGGGGAATTGAACCTACTACCTCATGCTTTAAGGGTGTATCTATTAACCACTGGGCCAATTGCTTCAATATACCTAATGTAAAATCAAAACTATTTATATATTACCCGGTGCAGTTGCACTCCTTTCCACCAACGTGGGTCCGCCCCTGAGGTGGATCTGTGCTTCGGCTAGTCCTTTATGGATTTGCAGTTTCCAAATGGGCAACTGACATCACTTCTCACTACATTTTTCATCATTCTTATCTCTCTATTTTCTTTATCCACGCCTCTTAATATATAGGGTTTGTCTCTTCTTAATTTTAAGTCTGCAAACCACATCCACATGATACTGTTTCGTTGAAATCATTTGGAACAATGAATTGAAGTTCTTGACGCGAAAAATAAACCACAAATACGTACTCTAGATTAGAGATACGTACTCTAGATAAGTTATTACAAAACAATCTTATCATATAAAGTTTTTTCAAAGTTTTGTAATAAGTGAATTTTTAAATTATATTCAACATAATATTTTCATATGATTATACTAAAACCAACTAAATTTGTAAAAAAAAACATGAATTAACTAACGTGTGCATTACACGGATCCTAATATAGTACTACTAGTGATACATAAATAGGTGTTAATTATCTTTTTTTGGCAATAATAAATAATTAGGCTTCTGTTACAAAAATCAAACTCTTGAATATTGAATGGAGCTCATAAGTCATTCAATCACTACCATAAAGTAATGGAATAGTTTGGTGTAGTGGAATGGTTTGGAGTAGTGGAATGGTTTGGAGTAGTGGAATAGTTTGGAGTAGTGGAATGGTTTGGTGAAATTATTTGGTACTATAAATATGCTCTTCCACTCCATTGTAAGATACACCATTGATTCACTTAACAAAAAAATGTATAGTTTCTTCCCACATTATTACTCTCTCTCCCTTATATTTCTATCTCTTTAAATAATTTTATTATTATACCATTTTCAACATATATGATCGATAGAAAATTTACGATACATTATTTTTCTTAATTATAACACGTTATCAGCACGATCACTCTATGATCGCTAGAAAAAAATACGGTATTATACCGGGCGGTATGTCGCCTCGTTAAAAGAAAAATATGAGAAAAAGAAAAAAAAAAAAAAAAAAGAAGAAAATTATATAAATAAATAAAAGAAACTATATATGTATATATACGTTACTTCATGCACCATAATTAATTATTTTCTGTTAATGGTTGGCTGAGCCACCTGAAATTTTATTTACTGCTTTAAATATTTATTTCTGTTGCCGGTCGGCTGAGCCGCCTTAATTTTATGCACTGCTTTAAATATTTATTTCTGCTACCGGTCGGCTGAGCCGCCACATATATATTTACTGTTTCTATGTGGATAATTCGTCACCATAATATCACTGTGAATTATTTGTTTATATTATGGTTTATTCACCTGTATAAATATTTTTATTTGAATCGATAATTTTTATCTGATTGATCTCTAATTTTTCAGATTAATTTTTTTTTAAAAAAATATTTTTCCGCCAACGGTCTCAAAGAAAAATTTCAAAATTTTTCCAAAAAATTCAACTTTCTCCAACGGCTAGGAATAGTATTTTTCAATCTATAAATTCATTCATTTTCTCATTCATTTCATCAAAACAAAATTTTTCATCTCTCTAAAAACTCCCTCCGAAAAAAAAAAGAAGAAGAATTTTGAAGTTTTGAAGTTTTGAAGAATGTTTCGATTACTTTTAATATTTGTTTTTGGAATCATTATTATGTGTATCTATAATGCGTTGTAGATTTTACTCCGCAAGAATTTCGTTTGACCATTAGTTTACTTGTTTGTACAATTTTTCTTTTAGTAATCGCTTGCATTATTAATATAAACGGTTCATTTTAAATATGTATTAATTTTATTTCTATACGCTTTTATATAAGTGTTTTTCATGTTTTAAAATAAAGGTTTCTAATAATATTCTATGTTTTTATTTTAGAAACGAAATGACAAATATTGAGAAGCTTAAGTTTTCGGCTCTACACAACTTTGGCCAATTATATATTTTGAATTGCCAACGTCGAATTAAATTTACAATTTCTTGGCTTAATAAAAACCGTAAAAGAGAATAATACTTCGACGGTTCAAGAAAGGGAAAAATTGGTGATCTTTATTTTAAGACACCTTGATGAAAGTATGATATGTGATTATGCACATATATAAGATCCCAAAGAGATCTGGGAATCCCTAAAAGCTTGATTTGATAATCGAAAGAAAATAAATCTCCCACTTGTTCGGGATGAATGACAAAGTCTAAAGTCCAAAGACTTTGATAAAGTGATGGATTATAATTCCGCTATGGTGTAAATTGTGGTTAAACTAAAATATTATGGTGATATTATCACTGATTCTCAGATGCTTGAGAAAACGTATACCACGTTTCATGAAAACCACATTACCCAGCAAAAATTGTATATGTCATGCGGGTATACCGAATTTTTGGATTTATTTATGGTACTCCTAATAGCGGAAAAGATTAATGAGACCGCTCATGCGAATAACTAAAATGCTTGTAGTGAGATTGCTAATCTCCAGTAATGCCATTATATAAAAATAATGTATTTCAGTTGTTTAAAAAATAAAGTTCTTTCTGAAAATGAACTAATATATGATTATTCTATATTTTCAATATCAGAGAGATTTGCTTATATTTATTAACGTTTATGTTAATTACAGAAATGGATCATATTACAAATGGAATCCAAGACAAATCTTGGGGATATTTGCATACCGGATAGTGGAACAACGCACAGTATTCTGAAACATAAAAAGTATTTCTCTGATTTGAAATCGACGAAAGTTATCGTTAACACAATATCAGGTCCTACAAACTTGATTGAAGGAAGTGGCAAAGCAAATTTTAAATTGCCTAATGGAACAAAGTTTTCTATAAATAATGCCTTATATTCTCCGAATTCTAAGAGGAATTTGTTGAGTTTCAAAGACATATACCTTCACGGATATGAAACTCAGTCTGCAACTGAGGATGGAAAGAAGTATATGTATATAACTTCTAATAAATCTGGAAAAAGACATGTCTTGGAAAGATTTCCAGAACTTCCTTCTGGTTTGCATCATACCTATATAGATGTCATAGAATCACATCTTGTGATCAAAAGAAATCCAGAAGATTTCGTATTATGGCATGATCGCCTTGGTCACCCAGGCACCACAATGATGCGAAAAATCATAGAAAGCTCACATGGTCACTCATTGAAAAATCATGAGTTGGAACATGGAAATAAAATGACATGTGCAGCGTGTTCTCTTGGAAAGTTAATCATAAGGCCATCGCCAACCAAAATTGATAAAGAATCACCAAAGTTCCTTGAACGAATTCAAGGCGATATTTGTGGACCGATACACCCACCATGTGGACCATTCTACTATTTCATGGTAATGATTGACGCATCTAGCAGATGGTCACATGTTTGTCTATTGTCATCTCGAAATTTGGCATTTGCGAGATTTATAACTCAAATAATCAAATTAAGAGCTCAGTTCTCTGATTATTCCATTAAGAGAGTTAGACTAGACAACGCTGGTGAATTCACATCCCAAGCATTCAATGATTATTGTATGGTAACGGGAATTGAAGTTGAACATCTTGTAGCTCATGTTCATACACAAAATGGCTTGGCGGAATCATTTATTAAACGCCTGCAATTGATTGCAAGACCATTGATCATGAGATCAAAACTTCCAACCTCTGTATGGGGACATGCCATTTTGCATGCAGAAGCACTCATTCGGATAAGACCAAGTGCATACCATAAATACTCCCCACTACAGTTAGCATTTGGTCGAGAACCAAATATATCCCATCTAAGAATTTTTGGTTGTGCGGTGTATGTGCCTATAGCACCACCACAACGTACAAAGATGGGACCACAAAGAAG